TTGTCAATACAGATTCAGAAGCTCAGCCCTTATTACTTTTGATTACTACCTTTTGAAACAGCAAAGTATCCAACACCCACCACCACGAACAACAACAAAAAAAAAGCGGTTTCAAGAACTCGTATTCCACTTTTCGAAACGTTTTGCCTTCATTTTCCGACTTTCAATCCTCTATTTGTCCTCCTCGTTTTCGTCGAACTTCTCTCCAATTAGCTCACATTACACACAACACACACTGTTAGTTTGTTTCTGCGCAAAGGGCGCGCACGCACACACACACACACAGAGGATATTCTTGTCAATGAAATGAACAAACGTTTCGTTCCGTCAACTTTTACTCGACTTTCGAGTTGAAATTCACTTTCATACTGACAAGTGTTCTTGATCAAATCAAAATAGGCGATTTTTCGCAATCAATCGCTTTTTACGCTTTTACGAAACTGTAAAGTAGATGTCAAAATCTGAAGCGTTCTGTTTCTCGAAACTTTCAAAAGTCGCTTTCATGAAACCGAACGTTTGCATTTCAAAATTCACAATTTTACAGAGTAATGAAACAGTCCGCTACGTTTTTCTAGTAAGCACAACAAAAGCACCCAATACGGTCTATTCGAAACGATGTATCTCGGCTGTGGGTGGAGATATCGAAAAGTGGACAACTGATCAAATGTTTATCAGAAAATTGTGTACATTTTATCAGTTGACAACTTGTTGATATCTCAACCCGCAACTGAGATACGTCGTTTCGAACCAAAAACGGCGAAGCCATCATCCATCACTTGTTACCGTCATTTGTTGCCCCGAAAAGAGATAGATATCACTCTCTCTCTCTCTCTCTCTTTCTTTTCCGTACATTCTCAAGTGTTATTCTACTCGTTATTCCCCGAACCCACACACAGACAATATCTCGACGACTTTTATCTGCGTCTCTCTTTCAACACTCACTTTGAAGACGTTTATCCTAGAAACCGGGTATGGTATCAAAAAGTTGTCAACAGAAAAGTTGTTGCAAATTTCAAGCTCTACAACTTTGTAATTGATCGTTTTGCTTCAAAATTTACAATTTCCAAGTTACAAGTCATTTTCTAAACAGCACTTTCTTGGTCCCACGCAGCTCAAGGACCGCGCTCACCACCAACCAAAACCCTTTCCGACGACCTCCTTCCTACCTACCCGCCATTTACGACTGTCTCGGTGTCTGCCGCCTCCTCGTCTCCGCATACTGTTTAGTCGGCGTGTCACCCCAACCCTTCTTCACCCCCAGCGGTTCCATTCGACCAACACCATCGGGGCCCTCCTCCTCCTCTCACACCTTTTTCCGGGTACGTCGCCCGCAATTTCGAGCGTTTCTCTGCGATTTAGCGGGCATTTTTCGGCCTCGAAATGCATCTCGACATTACCGTTTCATGAGCTTCGTGTAGCGAATGTAAAACATTGCTTATCGATTTTTTCTCTGCGGTTTTTGCTCAAAAATTCGATCGATAAAACCCTAGAACATTACTGTTTCTCGGGGTCCATATTAGAAAGGAAAAGGGGTAGGCGTGACAGGATTAGTGGAAAAATCGGCCAGCTTTCTTTTGTGTGCACTTGAACATTTACTGTTTCACGAACTCTTTCACCCAAAAAAATTACTGTTTCGTACCGCGCATATCATCATCGAAAAGGCGCATTCTGTTCATTTCGACATCATGCTCTTCGTCGTCTTGTGCTCGATTCCTACGACTATCCATTTGTCGCCCCCAGTACCCCCCTCATTTTTTGTCCTTTCCCTCGTCCGGACCAGATGTTTTGAGGCATTCAGAGTGATGAATCGGTTTCTGCGCGCTTTTGATCGTGCTGGATGCGTTGAGGCTCTAAAAATGTTCGAATGTCAATTTTTTTAGCCAATTTTTTGGCGTGCGATGCACAATGTTTGTGTGAGCGGGTGACGTGGCAAAAACATGTACCACCGGGCGGCATACGGCGTGTATGCACCAGTGTTGAGCGGAATTCCGTCTTCCGTCTTCCGTCTTCCGTCTTCCGCGCCTTTTTCTTCTTACCGTAAAAAAGTAATAGCTTTTCAGAAGCCATTTACTAGCCCCCGAAGAACGCGAATTTCCACGGGATTTCCAAAAATTTTTGTTTCATTAGTTATTTTTTTTCACCGGAGAAAAAAAGGTTCTGCATTGACGATTTTTTTTTGTTCCGTCTTCCGTTTTCCGTCTTCCGTGGATTTCAAAATTGCATTTCCGCTCAACTCTGTCCTTCCGTCTTCCGTCAGCCCTCCTTTTTTCACGGAACAACTCGAATAACTTTTTTGTATGAAAAGCTAAATTTACAATTATTTTTCGATGAGCACAGTTCACTTTGCTCTACATTTCGTCAGTTGATCACATTTCATGAAAAAATTTTCTAAAAAAGATACAAAATTCTTCCGCTGAGTTCTTCCGCTCAACTCTAGTACGCACCTTTTATACGCACGATTGGAAACCGACAAGTTTCCTTCAAGTATTCCGTTGGGCACGCTGCCAAGTCTCTCTTTCTCTCTGCCCCTACACCACCGAAATGTTGGTTTATGCAACAATTGCGTGTGAGAGAGAGAGAGTGAGCGGTCCCAGATGGATCGGCGAAAAAAGTTGCGTTTTTTTTGGGTTACAAGTTGCAACTGACGCGAATCATCGAGAAACCAGTTGATATTTCTCTCTCTCTCTCTCTCTCACTCTCCCTTTTGTGGTTAGAGTGTGAAGTGAACACAAGCACAAACATACATGCAACGATATTGTCGGTTTCCCCCTCTCTCTCTCTCTCCTTTCGCTTTTATGACAAAAAGAAGAAGAAGAGAAACATTATTCATTTTTATGTTTTCGAAACCCCTCCCCCCCGCCAAACCATTGCCTTTTCCCACATTTATACGCGAAATGCACTCGAAATATGCCCGATTTTCTAGACTTTTCGCGATGAAAACGTTGAAATTGACACTTTTTGACTAGAAAAATGCCACGTCGCATTGAAATTTCACACTTTTGCTCCAGTTTCTCAAAATTACCTGAAAAAATGACACTTTTTGCGTTGCTGACCAGAAAAAGAGCTCCAATCACTTGGGGCACCTTTGTGAAACTGTAAATTTTTCGGCTACAGTAGGGGGTTGCCACGTCACCTCGTATTAGAATCATTTTTTCAATTTCGTGTGTGTGTGAACTGAACCGTCTCCTTCAACCTTCGCCTCCGAGCGACGGGGACCGAGGGCTGTCCGTTCGCGTTCCCGCTAATTGCCATCATGTGGCGCTGGCTGGCTGGCTGGCTGGCAAGGACGTTGTTGAGGTGATCCGACCGGGACCAGTGACTCCAACCACAAGGGACCGTTCCCAAAAAAACTCTCGTCAACGCGGTCCCCGTTGACATTTTGTCGTGTGTCGGCGCCGAGCGAGAAGTCTATGATATCCGATCTCGATGCGTGTGCGTCTCACCCGATCGCCACACTCTCTCTCTCTCTCTCTCTCTCTCTCTCTCTCTCTCTCTCTGATCGACCGGGTCCATTTTACGAACCCCTCTGGCTCTTCTCTTTCAAATGGCACACACACACACGCAGAAGCAGAAGCAGGAGGCACACAACAAAAGGGGCGTGGACTGCTTTCTCTTGCTCTCTCTCTCTCTCTCTCTCGCTTGCTCGGACCGACGGACCCTTGGGGGGGGGCTCAGCTTGTGTAGACACACTAACCAAGTGGGACCAGGTCCCGCAAGCTTCTCTCTCGCTCTCTCTCTCTCTCTCTAGTAGGGTGGTTTCCTAAAACGGAGCGAGATACATACACACACACACACACACACACAAATTTGTTGATTTGTGTATGTATGTATGTATGTGTGTGGGAGAGACCTCCCCCAGTGTGCCCCCTCTCCCTCTTCTTCTTCTTTCTCTTCTTCTCCCCCTACCCCCGGTCCCTCTCGGCTCTGCCTCTCGGCCGAGCGAGCTTCACTGCGCGGCGCACAGAGAGAAAGAGCAGTGGCAGCAGCGGGAGCGGCGACGAAAAGCCCACCAACCAACCGAGCACGCGGCGCTTTTTTGGGACCCAAATTGTGTGGACCATTTTGTGGACCAATCCGATCGTACACTTGTTGTTCTCTTAGGGTACGCTAAATTTTTGCAACTCGAGGCGACCACTTTGCAACCAATCTAGGGTCGTTAGGTCTTTGTAAGTCTTAACTAGGTTCTACAAGGTATTATAGGGGCACCGCACAGAAATGGCGCTCTGTTGAGAAACTCTTTTTGCAGTGCAAATTGAGCGACCTCGGGGCCGAGTTTGAAAAGTTAGGCCACGTTTTCAGTGGAAAATTACTTCGCGGCCTAGAAATTCTGCCAGATTGCGAACAGCGCGCCCTTTCTACCCGGTGCCCCTATAATATCTAGAGGGACCGGACATTTTGCAACCAAACATGGCGGCGACACTTTGCCACCAGCAGCTTCTGCCCAGTTGTGTACTAGTAGGAGCCGCTTCCCCATTCAAATGGCCCCCCCCCTCCCTCCCTTTCTCTTCCACTTCCACTTGCCATCCAACGAGTTGGACCAACTCGAGCCCTCCCCAAACAGCTTCCTTCCTCTTTTTTTTGCGAAACCCCCCACAAACATTTTTTTCTGGTGACTTTCAGTTTTATGACCACTTATGACCGACTTTTGAACGCTCAATGTTTGTCCTGTACTGGTCACCCAGATAGAAATTGAAAAGTAGGGACGACGTTTAAAGTTGGTCCGTTTCGTCTCGCCTCCTCCTTCTTCTTCTTCCCCATTTCATTTTCCCTCCGGAATAGAATAGAAAGAGGGAGAGTGTCTTCTTCTTCTTCTTCTTCTTCTTCTTCTTCTTGCCCAATTTGAGTCTCCCCCTCCCCTCGTCCATTCGGCTCCGCAATGGCATCAAATTTCTCGTTTCCTCCTCCTCCTCCTCTTCCTCTATTTTCAAATGTTATTGATGCTCTCGCGACTAGTTTGTATACAATATTTTGCAGAAGTGCTCACAATCGTCTCATCGGTCATGTCGAACGAGGGAGATCCACCGGCGCGGGTACCAGACGCTCATGCCGCAGAGCCACAAGAGGTTCCGATGGCTCCGGGAGCTCCAGCCGCCGAAGGAAGCCGAGCCGAAGGATCCGCGTCGTTTTTGCGAGCCGCGAGAGCCGGCGATCTCGAGAAGGTGCTCGAGCTGTTGCGCGCCGGCACCGATATCAACACGTGCAACGCGAACGGTTTGAACGCGTTGCATTTGGCGTCGAAAGAGGGACACTCCGAAGTGGTCAGGGAGCTGATCAAGCGGTCCGCACAAGTCGATTCGGCTACTAGGGTGAAACTCTTCTTCTTCTTCTTTCTTCTAGAAGACTTATGAAATGTTTGCAGAAAGGAAACACCGCCCTGCACATTGCCTCACTCGCCGGCCAATCGCTCATCGTGACGATCCTTGTGGAGAATGGTGCCAATGTCAATGTGCAGTCGGTGAACGGCTTCACACCACTCTACATGGCCGCTCAGGAGAATCATGAAGACGTCGTTCGCTATTTGCTCAACCACGGCGCCAACCAGGCACTCTCCACCGAGGACGGCTTCACGCCGCTCGCCGTCGCTCTTCAGCAAGGCCACGATCGTGTCGTCGCCGTGCTTTTGGAGAATGATGCGAAGGGAAAAGTGCGGCTGCCGGCACTGCACATCGCCGCAAAAAAGGACGACACGAAGGCGGCGACGTTGTTGCTGCAGAATGAGCACAATCCGGACGTGACGTCGAAGTCGGGCTTCACTCCGCTGCACATTGCGGCGCACTACGGCCACGAGAACGTTGGGCAGTTGTTGTTGGAGAAGGGCGCCAATGTGAACTATCAGGCGAGACATAACATCAGGTTTGTGACCCGTCTGGGGCTCTTTGTATAATTCGATTAGTGCCCCCCAGAGAGACACACTTCTTTTGTTTTCAGCCCACTTCATGTCGCCACCAAATGGGGACGTACCAACATGGCGAACCTGTTGCTCGCGCGCGGAGCCATCATCGACTCGCGCACCAAAGATCTTCTCACGCCGCTTCACTGCGCCGCACGTTCGGGCCATGATCAGGTCGTCGACCTGCTCGTCGTCCAAGGTGCTCCAATCTCGGCGAAGACCAAAAACGGTCTGGCACCGCTGCACATGGCCGCGCAGGGAGATCATGTCGACGCGGCGCGAACGTTGCTCTACCATCGTGCTCCGGTCGATGACGTCACTGTCGACTACCTGACGCCGCTGCACGTGGCGGCGCATTGTGGACACGTGCGCGTCGCCAAGCTGTTGTTGGACCGATCTGCGGATCCGAACGCCAGGGCGTTGAACGGATTCACTCCGCTTCACATTGCTTGCAAGAAGAATCGGATCAAAGTGGTCGAGCTGCTGCTCAAGTATCGTGCGGCCATCGAGGCAACAACGGAATCGGGGCTGACTCCGTTGCACGTGGCCGCCTTTATGGGCGCCATCAACATTGTGATCTATCTGCTGCAGCAGGGCGCGAATCCGGACGTGGAGACGGTGCGCGGCGAGACGCCGCTGCACCTCGCCGCTCGTGCGAATCAAACCGACGTGGTGCGTGTGCTCATCCGGAACGGGGCCCGGGTCGACGCGCAAGCCCGCGAACTGCAAACGCCGCTCCACATTGCCAGTCGTCTGGGCAACACTGACATTGTGGTGCTTTTGCTGCAGGCGGGCGCCAACTCGAACGCGACGACGCGCGACAACTATTCGCCGCTGCACATCGCCGCCAAAGAGGGTCAAGAAGAGGTTGCGGGCATTCTTCTCGATCACAACGCCGACAAGACGCTTCTCACGAAGAAGGGCTTCACGCCACTGCATCTCGCGTCAAAGTACGGAAATCTGGAGGTGGTTCGATTGTTGCTGGAGCGGGGCACTCCGGTCGACATTGAAGGCAAGAATCAGGTGACGCCGTTGCACGTGGCGGCGCACTACAACAACGATAAAGTGGCAATGCTTTTGCTCGAGAACGGCGCCTCGGCGAAGGCGGCGGCGAAGAACGGATACACTCCTCTGCACATTGCCGCCAAGAAGAATCAGATGGAGATCGCCTCCACCCTGTTGCAGTTCAAGGCGGATCCGAACGCAAAGTCGCGCGCCGGATTCACACCGCTTCATCTCGCTGCTCAAGAGGGTCATAAGGAAATCTCGGGGCTCCTTATCGAAAGCGGCTCCGACGTGGGCTCCAAAGCCAACAACGGACTGACGGCGATGCATCTGTGCGCTCAAGAGGATCACGTGCCGGTCGCGCAAATTTTGTACGCATCGGGCGCCGAGATTAACAGCAAAACGAACGCCGGCTACACACCGCTGCACGTGGCGTGTCACTTTGGACAACTCAACATGGTTCGGTTCCTGGTGGAGCATGGCGCGGATGTTGGCGAGAAGACGCGAGCCTCGTACACGCCTCTGCATCAGGCCGCCCAACAGGGTCACAACAATTGCGTGCGCTATCTGCTCGAGAATGGCGCGTCGCCGAACGAGCAAACTGCGGTAAGTCGTCGTTGCCAATCCATCAGGATTAGTCGAGTCGCTCTCATACGCGAGTCTCCCACCCCCAAACACATCACTTGCAGAACGGTCAAACGCCTCTCTCGATCGCCGAACGTCTCGGCTACGTGTCGGTCGTCGAGACGTTGCGAACCGTCACCGAAACGACGGTCATCACGGAGACGACGACGACGACGGCGGCGCTCGACGAACGCTACAAGCCGCAGAATCCGGAGGCGATGAACGAGACGATGTTCTCCGAGTCGGAGGACGAGGGACAGGCGGCCGAGCACGAGGCGGCCGCCGCTCACGCCAAGGATTTCTCGGACAATTTGGCGCAGGCGCTTCAGGATTCCACTGGTGTTCATATGATTCATACCGGAGAGCAGGTGAGAGCAATCGCAGAGTCGAAATCGAGACGCGGCGAAGACACCAACCGGAAAAGAGGCCATTTATTTTGAAAATCGATCTCACTCCTCGTTTTCGCTTTCCCCCCGTCCCCAAGAGCCGCTGCACACATCATAAGTGAGAGTGCCCCGGCGTCTTCTAGTACACAGCCGTAGCCGCAAGACATGTGGTGGCTCGTACACTCGAGCTGTGCGTAGAGCTCATCCAAAATGTTTGGATTATTTATTCCCCTTTTACACTGTCCGCAACCCGCTGTTTTTTTTCCAGCTCCTTCAACGCAGTCAAGAGCTCGAGAACGGCGGCGCCATTCCGAAAATCAATTCGGGCGGAATGTCTCCGGACAGAGAGTTCGCGCGGATTGCACCAGTTGCCACATCATCGCCGATTGCCACGTCACACTCTCAACCGCTGGGACTCGCGCCGAGAGCCGCATCCATCTCGGGTCAATTCTCGCAACAACCGATTCATCAGCAGCATCATCACGACGCGCCGGATAATCTCGAAGAGCTCGTGCGTCGCGCTCAGTCTCATCCGATCCACGCGGCGAACTTCCATGAGAACAACGGCGCGGCGCTTCTCGATCACGGACATTCGGACAATGTGCCGATTGGACATCATGTCACACAACCGAGGTTTGTCTCGAGGACGCTCCTCAACGGATATCGGGGGGTTTGGTGGCGCTTCAGAGCGTGACGATGGTGGCGGCGGTGTACGGTTGACGACAACCTCGAAAAAGTGTGTAAGTTGTCGTCGTGGTGTTTGCACAGACTTTTCTCAAAGAGTGTGCCAACACCACCACCATCGCCGGTAAACGCCGCCAAACCCCCATCACCGTTGACTTTAAGTTGTTCGAACCCCCCTCCCATTCTAATCACAATTTCAGTAAACTCCAACATAGAACGTAAGTTTTTAGCAACAAACAACAAGCACTCAATTAATTATCAGTTGCCGTCGTGTTGTCCATTTCTGGTGTACCTTAGTTCAAGCGCTATCTCTTTGCATGAAATCAACAGCCAGTTTTGGAGCATCTCGCGCCTAAACATTGCCCATTTTTCAGCTTCCTCATCTCGTTCTTGGTTGATGCGCGCGGAGGAGCGATGCGTGGATGTCGTCACTCGGGAGTTCGAATTATTGTGCCGCCGCGAAAGGCGTCTCAACCGATTCGAGTCACGTGTCGGTACCTGAGAAAGGTAGGATTCTTTCCAGAAAAGCCTTTTAACTGAACTCTATCAATTTTCAGGATAAACTCGCTCATCCACCGCCGCTCAGCGAGGGAGAAGAGCTCGCGTCGCGGATTCTTGAGATGGCACCAGCTGGAGCCAAGTTCTTGGGACCGGTCATTTTGGAAGTGCCGCACTTTGCCTCGCTCCGAGATCGCGAACGTGAGATCGTCATCCTGAGATCCGACGACGGACAGCACTGGAAGGAGCATCAACTCGAGGCGACCGAAGACGCCGTCCAGGAGGTGCTCAACGAGAGCTTCGACGCCGAGGATCTCGCGCAGCTGGACGACTTGCACACGCCTCGCATCACTCGCATCCTCACCAACGACTTTCCGATGTATTTTGCGGTCGTGACGCGTGTTCGACAAGAGGTGCATTGCGTCGGACCCGAAGGCGGCGTCATCATCTCGTCGGTGGTGCCACGCGTGCAGGCAATCTTCCCCGACGGCTCGCTGACCAAGACGATCAAGGTTTCGGTTCAAGCGCAGCCGGTGCCGCAGGAGATGGTCACCAGGCTCCACGGAAACCGTGTGGCCGTCTCGCCAATCGTGACCGTCGAGCCGCGGCGTCGCAAGTTCCACAAACCGATCACCCTGTGCATTCCGCTGCCGCAGAGCAACAACAAGGGAATGCTCACTCAGTATTCGGGACAGCAGGGCCAGGAGCCGCCAACACTTCGGCTCCTCTGCTCAATCACCGGCGGATCCGCGCCGGCTCAATGGGAAGACATCACCGGAACCACGCAGCTCACGTTCACCGGCGACGAAGTCTCGTTCACCACGACCGTCTCCGCCAGATTTTGGCTCATGGATTGTCAAACTCCTCGCGACGCGGCTCGCATGGCTCAGGAGGTCTACAACGAGGCGATCTCGATTCCGTACATGGCCAAATTCGCCGTCTTCGCTCGTCGAACGTTCCCGGTCGAGGGACAACTTCGTGTGTTCTGCATGACCGACGACAAGGAGGATAAGACTCTGGAGAAGCAGGAGCACTTCAAGTTGATCGCCAAGAGTCGCGATGTCGAGGTGCTCAAGGGCAAACATCAGTTCCTCGAGTTCTCCGGGAACCTGGTCCCGATCACCAAGTCCGGCGATCAACTCTCTCTCTTCTTCCTGCCGTTCCAGGAGAACCGATTGGCGTTCATGGTGAAGACTCGTGGAAAAGATGATTCGGAAGCGGCGACCGAAGGACGAATCGGGTTCATGGCCGAGCCGAAGATCCGTTCGGACGCTCTGCCACCACAGCATCCCATCTGCACCCTCGCCATTTCCCTTCCAGAGTACACCGGAGAGGTTAAGGTGACGCCGCCGCCGAAGAGAGATGCGACGCCGTTCGAGAAGCGCTACGGAGACGCTCTGGACAAGGAGCTGCCCGAATTTGTGCATCAGAACGTGCTGAAGGGCATCGGAGCCGACTGGCCGAGACTGGGACGTGCTCTCGAGGTGCCGCACCGCGACATTCAACACATTAGGTACAATTATCCGGGACAAGAGTGCAAGAACACGCTGAAAATCTGGATTCATCTCAAGAAAGAGGACGCGAATCAGGAGAATCTCGACATGGCGCTTCGACAAATCGGCCGCGACGATATTGTCCGTTCGATTGCGTACGGCGAGCCGGAGGCGCTCATCAACTACAGTCAGGCGGACTCGCCGAGCCAGAAGCGTGAGCCCATTCGGCACTTTGAAGACGTGCCCAGTGCGAGCCTTATTAAACGTGAAGTACGCACCGAGGACCTTGTGACGAGGCAGCCGATCCACGTGGCTGAGCCGGTTGTTGTCGAGCACGAACCGTCCTACTCGGCACCAATTCATCATAGCCCGGTGCCAGAAGAACCGGAGCCTGAAGGTCGGAGACCTTCACATTTTCAGAGGAGTTGATTTTTCAAATTTCGATGATTTCAGAAGAGGTGCCGGTTGCCGAGATGCGTACAGTGGTCCGTACCGAGCGACACGTCCACGACAGCGAAGACGGGCCGGTCGTCGAGGAGAGAACCATCACGACGACGTATGAAGACGACGTGGCGGTCAACGAGAACATCAGCGATCGTACCGTACCGCTGAACGATGAGGAGTGGCGAAAGTGGGAAGAGTTGAATCGGCAAGCGGACGGCGCCGCGCCATCCCCGGCCGCGCGCTCTTCCGTCGCAATGTCGGAGCCGCTTCCGGATGACGTCGAGCAGCACGTCGAGTCGGAAAGCCATCGCGAAGACGATGGGACGATCGTCACGACGACAGTGACGACCAGCCACATCAGCGGTAGGTCTTGGGCTCTAATAACAATCCTCATCCGTACATCCAGCACGTAATCGAGCACCACCCATTCCTAACCTTTGCAGATTCTCCGCTGCCCGACGACGACGACGCCACGGATGACGAACAAGAAGGTAGAGCCTGAGAAGATCCGCCCGATATTATTATCCGATTCCATTAACCATTGCTCTCTGTACCCTTTCCTATTTTATTATTGAATTGATTGCCTCAAGCTTCTATGCACCATCTATGCACCTGCCAAAGCACACAAGCACACACCTTCTACCTGCAATAAATGAAGGACACCACATAATATCAACTAGATCCGCGGCGCTTTTCTTGCTTCTTCTTTGTGTTGTTTTGGAATAAACTTCGGGGGGGACGGGGTCAGCTGTTGGTGAGCGAGAGGAAGAAGAGAGCGGAGCCGAGCCGCCCATCTTCTTTTGAAAGCTCGCCCACTTTTACCCCGACATTCACAAAATGTCCTCGACCGCCGACTACATCGTCTCGGGCGTTCTCGCCGACGGCACTCCCATCGTATTCGGAGCGCTAGTCTCGCACGGAACCTCCACGTCGGCCATTCATCACGTGAGCTCGACGAGCCAGTTCGCCGTCGAATCGTGGGATGGAGAGCACGCCGAGCGCGAGCATCATGATCACGACGAGGCGGTGCGACGCTTCTCGCTTTATTTGGAGCCGGACAAGCCGAATGAGGAGCATGATGAGGAGGAGGAGCCGATCGCGAGCAGTGCTCAATTCGAGCGCACCCGATCCGCGTCGCTTGCCGCCGCGCTGCTCGAGCTCGACCCGCGAGGAGTTCCGCTTGTGCAATTCTTCAAACTCGCCACCAGCGAGCCGCTGCTCGAGCTCGACGAGGGCGACGACGAAGTTGAGCCGACGGAGGCGGAGCTTGTGCTCAGCCACCTTCTCTTCACTCTCCGCGCCGTGAAGATGTCGTCCGACGGCGATGCGAAGCACTCGGACGCCGTCCAACGACTCCGCGAACTTGAGGAGGAGCTCCGCGCCGCCGGAGCCGTCACCCCCGCCGATCCGGCGGTTAGTGAGGCGGTGGCGCGTGCGTTGGCCGTCGCCGGCGCCGGACGTGACGTCCAAATCCGTGTGAATCAGTCGAAGCACACGACGACGACGAAGACCGTCTATGAGACGGAGACGCCGGCGATGGCGCACATGGATAGCGAGCAGATTCGCAACCTTCAACACCAGATCTTGGCCGATATTTGTACGTGATTGTGCTTTGGTTGCGTTTGTTGCATGCCTCAAACTCCCCCCCTTTTTCAAATCACCTCACTTTCCAAACCAATATCGTTCACTTTTCAGCGTCTGGCGCTGAGCACCACGCTGGCCACGACTCGGGCACGACGCAAAAGAAGGAGACGGCCGAGGAGGGATTCACCAACGAGGACGGATCGGTGATCGTTTCGAAGAAGATGACTCGCGTCGTCACCACCACTCGCACCACTTTGCCAGGTAAAACGTTTTCGATAACTTTTTATTTGCTCCGTCCGATATGCCTCTAGCTCTAGCTCTAGCTCACCGGAGGAACGTGAGAAATGTGTTTTGTTTTCGTCGCCTCTCGCCCGCCGCTCGTTGATTTTGAAAATGCGCTCGGAGAGAAAAGAGCACGGCGGGGCGTGGAGCCCGCAGACACTTTACACACTCACGAGCCCCCTCATCCGAGCGAGCGGCTCTAGAATCTCAAGGCTCGGGGGGGAACATCAAGTCATTTACAATATCTACAATATTTATGTCTTGCAGGAGAAGGAGAAGAGCCATCGGCGCCTGGTGAGTAAGCAGTTTCACGCCGAATCGTCGTCAAGAAGGACCGTACCCCCCCCCACCGACTACCGATATTGTTCTTTTCTCATTCTCCTCACTCTCTCTCTCTCTCTCTCTCTCTCTCTCTCTCGCTCGTCTCTAGCACACCGTAATCTGAAAATAAAGAGAATTCAGAATCCCGAGATATTATAAATGTCGCGCTCGTTTAATAAAGGTCAACTTTTTGTGTTCTTCACAAGTGGTTCGCATGATTTGATATCGTTTTCGTTCGGTTTTTTTTTTGGTTGGTTGGCACGTCGAACGGGGAAAGCGAAACGCGAAACGGATTACTGTAGTTATTGTTCAGTTTGGCTCGAGCACTTTACAGATTCAAAAGGATCATCGAGAAGAGCGTCGTTCTATTTCAGGCGGACTTTTCTGGATGTTGTAATGATGTTTGAGCACTTGGATCCATTGCGAGCCTACCCTTTTTGTTTATACATGTGTGGTTCCACTAGTTTTTCCCTTTTTTCTCTCTCATTCTCTCTCATCTCGTTCTTTTCCATCTCTCACTCTAGATTACGGTAGGGGTACGGTAGGGGTACGGGAATTCTGAAAACTTGAAAACAAACGTTGGAAGTTCATCGATAAAGTGCTCATTTCAGCGTCGCCAGTGGAAGCCACATCACTCGGAAGCGTCAAGGACCGCATCGCAAAGTTCGAGCAGCTCAAGGACTTTGGAGCGCCGGAACACGAGCTTCTGGAACCGTCTGTGGGGATTGTGATTACTCCGCATACACCGGTGCCGCCAGAGCATTCGGAGGAGCATCCGGAAGACGAAGACGAACCACGAGAAGCGCTGGAACTCGCCGAGCCGGAGCATGTCGCGCACGCACAGCTCAAAGACACCCGGGAGTACAGCGACGAGGAGCTCTCCCAGGAACTTCAACCATCCGAGGAGCACGTCGCGACCGCCGAGATCAAGGACATCAAATCGTACTCGCCCACGTCTTCAGAAGAAGGGAAAGTGAGTCCGAGTCCGAGGGTCGCGCCGGTTCCCCAAGCACGCCAGTCCATCTCGCCATCGGTTGCGAGTTCCGCCCACCACGACGACGAGTTGGCCGCCCATTTTGTGGCAGAGTCTTTCGAGAAACATGACGAGGGACGGGTGGAGCACATGGAGCACACGCCCGTCTACCGGGGACATCGATCGCCGGGGCAGACGTCGCCGATTGTGTCGGAGCATCCGATCGCGCAAGAGTACGCGGAGAGTGTGACGAGCCACGACGAGGAGCCGGACAATTTGAGTCTGAAATCGGGACATGAAGCCGAGATTGCGCGGCATTCTGAGGAAGAGGAGGAGCGAGATTCTCTTCAGAAGGATAATGATGAGGAACCGGAAGAGTTAACCACCCAGACTACCATCACAGAATCGCCAATCCGTCATGAAGATGTATTAGCGGAGTTCCATGAGCATTCTCCAGTACCATCGGAACGTCAAGTGACCCGGGAGTTTTATGAAGAACCAGAGCATCCAGAAGAGCTCAAGTCTCACTCACCAGCTTCTCAAGTCGGTCACGATGAACCAGACTTTGGACACATTGTCAGAGAGACCACCACGACGGTCACTCGAGACTTCCATGAGGACCGTGAGAAGACCCCATCGCCAGCAGTTTCTGAGGACTACGTGTCTCCGGTTCCATCGAACAAGGATACTTACTCGCCAGCGCCGGTTGAGATGGAAGATCAGTTGATCAAGGAGACGACAACAACGACTACAGTCACCCGGGAATTCTATGATCAGCCGGAGCAACCAGTGGAGTCTTACTCACCAGCTCCATCTTCCCATGTGGAGTCGGAGCGGCCAGAGGAACATCCTCATATCATTGAGACGACCACCACGACTACCGTAACCCGGGATTATCATGATGCACCGGAGGAACCAACTGGAAGAGCTCCAGAATCCGGAGAGGAAAGCGATGGAGAAGGATTCGGTAGCAAGGTTCTCGGATTTGCGAAGAAGGCGGGAATGGTCGCCGGAGCTGTGGTTGCTGCTCCAGTTGCTCTCGCTGCTGTTGGAGCCAAGACTGCTTACGATGCTCTCAAGAAGGATAGTGATGAGGAGGAGCCGGAAGAGCACGAAGGTTTGCTCCGAGAAGAAGAACGTCAACGCCGAGCCTCACCATCCGGATCTTCATCTCCAGTTCCATCAGAGGGATCTGTGACGCGAGTTGTTGAGACCACTACCACCACGGTCACCAGAGGATTATATGAAGAAGAGCCACATCATGATGCTCAGTATTTCCATGAGCAATCCGAATCTCCAGTACCAGCGGAACGGACTCCATTGTTGGAAAAGCCACGACACGATGCTCCAGCTGATTCAGGCTACTTCCATGAGCAAGCAGAGCATGAAATTCCAACTGAACATGCACCATTGCTCACCGAAAAACAACCAGAATCCGGAGAGGAAAGCGATGGAGAAGGATTTGGAAGCAAGGTGCTCGGATTCGCGAAGAAGGCGGGAATGGTCGCCGGAGCTGTGGTTGCTGCTCCAGTTGCTCTCGCTGCTGTTGGAGCCAAGACTGCCTACGATGCTCTCAAGAAGGATAGTGATGAGGAGCCAGAGGAGCCTGAACGACGAGCTCTGGAATCTCCAACTTCATCGGAACAGTACCAGGAGCCAATCCACGAGTCCTCGGAACCAGAGAAGCATCATATCACAGAGACAACGACAACTACCACGGTGACCCGTGAGTTCTACGATGAGCCGGTGTCTCCAGTCCCATCGGATGCTGCTGGATCGCCTGTGGAAAGCGAGAAGTCGATCCCTCATGTCGTCGAGACCACCACAACCACCACTGTCACCCGGGACTTTGACCAGGACGCTTCTGGACGAGGATCACCGGTGCCTTCGGAGCCCGAGACCACCACTGTCACTCGTGAGGTCTACCAGGCTCCACATGGCGACGAGCCCGAGCATCACTTCACCGAGACCACAACCACTACCGTAACCCAGAAGGTTCATGATGAGCCGAGTGAGGAGGATGCTGGTCAGGGAGAGCCGGAAGAGGAGCTGCCGCATGTCGTCGAGACCATCACAACCACTACTTCTGGACCAGGATCCTCAGTGCCTCAGTCTCCAGTTTTATCGGAAAAGTACCAGGAGCATGATGAACCGAAACCAGAGGTGCCATCGGAGAAACATTTGTCAGCTTCATCTTCTCCATCTTCTCAACCCGATCAACAAAACCTTTTGGAATCACCGGCTGTGTCCGAGAAGGAGTTGCCGCACGTCGTTGAAAAAGAAGGACGAGCATCTGAAGTAAGCTCGCCATCTCCAGTTTCCCCGACGCCGTCAGAGAAGGAGCCGGAAGCTCACCTGATCTCGGAGACCACTACAATCACCACTGTCCATCGGGAATTCTATGATGAGCCGAAGCATCTTTATGAACATCCACAGGAGTCATCTCACGTGGAATCCGAACGATACGAGGGATCGCCGGTTGTTTCCGAGAAGGAACTTCCCCACGAGCCCGAGCAAGAATCCTACTCACCTGCTCCATCTTCTCAAGCCGAGTCGGAACGTCCTCACGTCGTGGAGACTACCACCACGACTACTACGACACGCGAATTTTTCGATGAGCCGGAGGAACCGACCGGATCGCCCTCACCACTCACTGAGACCACTACCACCACCACGGTCACTCGGGAGTTCTACGATGAGCCCGAAGAGCAAAGACCAGACGAGGAGCTCTTTGAAGTCCAGCCAGTCGCCGACACGACTACCACAGTGTCTCGTGAGATCTACTATGCTCCAGAGAATGATGATCAACCGGAATCTGAGCATCATGTCATCGAGAAGACGACCACCACGACCATCAGTCGGGAGTTGCACGAGGAGCCGGGGTCGCCAACTGGTGAAATAGAGCCGCATTATGTGGAGACGAGCACAACGACTACGGTTACTCGGGAGTATGAGCAGCCGGAAGAGGAGGGTGAGAAGTATGTGCCGGAGGAGCCAACCCATCACCGTACTTCATCTGAGGTGGCAAAGGAGTCTTCAGTTGCCGAGCACTTGGAGCCAGAGCACCAACAGCCAGAATACGATTCGGAACGTCTTTCGGAACCAGCATCTTCCCCGATTCCGGAATCTCCAGTTGGAAAGGCGAATCTACCGCTTGTCAGTGAGACTATAATGACTGGCGAGCACTACGAGGAAGAGCCAGAGGAGCCGATTCATCGGGAAGCTTCTCCGATCCGATCGGAATACGCTCCTGCTTCACCATCCGGATCTTCATCTCCAGTTCCATCAGAGAGATCTGTGACGAGAGTTGTTGAGACCACTACCACCACTGTCACCAGAGGATTCCATGAAGAAGAGCCACATCATGATGCTCAGTATTTCCATGAGCAATCCGAATCTCCAGAACCAGCGGAACGGACTTCATTGTTGGAAGAGCCACGACACGATGCTCCAGCTGATTCGGGCTACTTCCATGAGCAAGCAGAGCATGAAATTCCAACTGAACATGCACCATTGCTCACCGAGCAACAACCAGAATCCGGAGAGGAAAGCGATGGAGAAGGATTCGGAAGCAAGGTGCTCGGATTTGCGAAGAAGGCGGGAATGGTCGCCGGAGCTGTGGTTGCTGCTCCAGTTGCTCTCGCTGCTGTTGGAGCCAAGACTGCTTACGATGCGCTCAAGAAGGATAGTGATGAGGAGCCAGAGGAGCCTGAACGACGAGCTCTGGAATCTCCAATTTCATCGGAACAGTACCAGGAGCCAATCCACGAGTCTTCGGAACCAGAGAAGCATCATATCACAGAGACAACGACAACTACCACGGTGACCCGTGAGTTCTACGATGAGCCGGTGTCTCCAGTTCCATCGGATACTGCTGGATCGCCTATGGAAAGCGAGAAGTCGATCCCTCATGTCGTCGAGACCACCACAACCACCACTGTCACCCGGGACTTTGACCAGGACGCTTCTGGACGAGGATCACCGGTGCCTTCGGAGCCCGAGACCACCACTGTCACTCGTGAGGTCTACCAGGCTCCACATGGCGACGAGCCCGAGCATCACTTCACCGAGACCACAACCACTACCGTAACCCAGAAGGTTCATGATGAGCCGAGCGAGGAGGATGCTGGTCAGGGAGAGCCGGAAGAGGAGCTGCCGCATGTCGTCGAGAGCACCACCACGACTACAGTGACGCGTGATTATGAAGATGAAGATGAGGAAGCTCCACATGTTACGGAGACCACAACCACCACCACTGTGATCCGCGAATTCTATGGAGAAGAACCGGAAGAGCTGGAATGTCAATCGCCAGTACCATCAGAGAAGGACAAAGATTCTTCGTCTCCGACGAGCGAGACCAGCACTTCTGTGAGTCGGGAAGTCCATCCGGACGAGCCGCATGTCGTGGAGACCACCACCACGACTACTGTCACTCGGGAGTATCATGATCAATCGGAGAGGCAGGACCCAGAGCCAGAACACGATTCGGAACGTCTGTCGGAACCCGCATCATCTCCAATTCCGGAATCTCCGCTTCTCAGCGAGACTCGCGAATACTATGAGGAAGAGCCGGACGAGCCGATTCATCGCGAAGCTTCTCCAGTTCAATCGGAGCAAGACGTATCTTCATCTCCAGTTCCATCTGAAAGCTCTGTGGCTCGCATTGTGGACACCACCTTGACTACTGTCACCCGAGAGTTCGACCAGGAAGAGCCGCACCGCGATGCTCCAGTTGATCGGCAATTCCATGAGCAGGAACCGGAAGAGCACGAAGCTTTGCTCGGAGAACGACGTGGCCTGGAATCTCCAGTTTCATCGGATAACTACCAGGAGCGTCATGAACCAGAGGCGAGCCAAAAGTCGCCAGTACCATCAGAAAAACATGACCACCATGTTGCTGAGTCCACCAAGTTCTCCGATGAGCCGGAATCCCCAATCCCATCGGATCATGAAGCAATCCATCGATCTGAACGTCTATCGGAACCAACTTCTTCAGCTGAAAGTGAACAGGATCTTTCTCGTGTCATCGACGTCAACCGACACTTTGATCAGGAAGATCCGGACGAGCCAGTCCATTCCGAAGAGCTCTTGCAGTTCCAGGGCGAGCAATCGCTGGAAGAACTCGAAAAAGAGGAGGCGGAAGAGAGAGCAGCTCACGAACCAGTTGCCGAGCCTAGATTGGAACGGGAGGGATCCTATTCGCCGGGATATTCGCCAAAGTCGCCAGATGGATCGTTAGCTGAATCCGATGAGGAGAGCCGGAAGATTGTGGAGACTGTCACCACCACCACGACTACCAGGACTCATGAAGTTCCTGATGAGCCGGAGAAAAAGTCTGAAGATGCAGCTCCGGAAGAGCCAGAAGACTTGGAATCCCCGGTCAAGTCTCCATACGAGCAACCGACAGAGTACGGACGAGTCGACTCGCACGATGCTCCAGCGTCTCCAGCTCCTTCTGTTGAATCTGCTCATGAAAGTATTGTCATCGAGACCACAACTATCACCACTGTCCATGAGCCGGAAGATGCTCCGAGAGACGTCGTCGAGTCCCAGGAGTATACTGGATCTCCAGTTCCATCTGAACATGCACCATTGCTCACCGAGAAACAAACGGAATCCGGAGAGGAAAGCGATGGAGAAGGATTCGGAAGCAAGGTGCTCGGATTCGCGAAGAAGGCGGGAATGGTCGCCGGAGCTGTGGTTGCTGCTCCAGTTGCTCTCGCTGCTGTTGGAGCCAAGACTGCTTACGATGCTCTCAAGAAAGATAGTGATGAGGTGGAACCGGAAGAGCACGAAGCTTTGCTCCGAGAAGAAGAACGTCAACGACGAGTCTCGGAATCTCCAGTTTCATCAGAGAAGCCTTTGATAGGAGTAGGAGACGATCAGCCAGTTCATCACTACACTGAGACCACCACCACGACCACTGTGACTCGGGAGCACTTTGATGAGACGGAATCCTATTCGCCTGCTCCATCTTCTCGATCTGAGAAACAGTTGGAGTCACCAGCCGCTTCCGAAAAGGACATTCCATATCAAGCAGAGTCCAATTTGCCAGCTCCTCCATCAGTTGGCTCGCCGGAGAAAGAGCACTCGGAAGTTGTGGAGTCCACGACTGTTGTGACCCGAGAATATTATCACGATGAGCCGGAGGATGAGCCAGTTCATCGAGATGCGGGAAGAGAAGAGACCACTGAAATTCGGGAAGTGTATGATGCTCCGGGCGGTGAGCACTTCATCGAGACCACCACCACCACTACTGTTACGAAGGAGGTCTATGAGCCGGTTCACGATGATGCTCAAGTGGATCGTGAGGAACCGGAAGGATACCGTCCAGCTTCGGGATCAGAGGCCGATGATGAGTCGCATGCTCCGAGATACTTGGAAACGACGACAACTACCACTGTCATCCGGGAGTATGAAGTGTCGGAAGATGAGGAAGATCATGCTGTTCCACAAGAATCTCCAACTCCATCGGAAGAAACAGTGTCCCGTATCGTCGAGTCCACAACCACGACTATAGTAACCCACTATGAGCCGGAAGATGAACATGAGAAGCCGCGCGTCGTTGAATCCCAGGAATATGCTTCTGGATCTTTGGGATCTCCAGTTCCATCTGAAGAAGGATCCCTCAAACTCGTCGAAACCACCACCGTGACTCAAGAGCATTATGAGCCGGAGGACGAGCGCGTCGGATCTCCAAAGTCTGCTGGGCATGTTGTCGAGTCCCAGGAGTACGAACATGGATCTCTAGTTCCGTCGGAAGAGCCGGAGGAGTCGATTCATCGAGACGCTCCTGCTTCACCATCCGGATCTTCATCTCCAGTTCCATCAGAGAGATCTGTGACGCGAGTTGTTGAGACCACTACCACCACTGTCACCAGAGGATTCCATGAAGAAGAGCCACATCATGAATCTCCAGCTGCTCAGTATTTCCATGAGCAATCCGAATCTCCAGAACCAGCGGAACGGACTCCATTGTTGGAGGAACCGCAACACGATGCTCCAGCTGATTCAGGCTACTTCCATGAGCAAGGAGAGCATGAAATTCCAACTGAACATGCACCATTGCTCACCGAGAAACAAACGGAATCCGGAGAGGAAAGTGATGGAGAAGGATTCGGAAGCAAGGTGCTCGGATTCGCGAAGAAGGCGGGAATGGTCGCCGGAGCTGTGGTTGCTGCTCCAGTTGCTCTCGCTGCTGTTGGAGCCAAGACTGCTTACGATGCGCTCAAGAAGGATAGTGATGAGGAGGAACCGGAAGAGCACGAAGGTTTGCTCCGAGAAGAAGAGCGTCAACGACGAGCCGTGGAATCTCCAGAGCATCATGAACCAGCTGCAAAATTCTACGAGCCTTTTGAAGAGGATCGTAGCGTCCAGTCCGCGTCGCCTGTCAAAGAAGAACCAAAGATCATCTCTCCAGCTCAATCCATCGAGGAGATCAAAGAGAAGCTGCAGGAGGCCGAGAAGCGGTTTGAAGAGGAAGTGGACAAGGAGCCGTTTGTCATCGAATCAGAAGAGTACGAGCCGGCGGTCCATGAAGAGCAGCGTATCAGCTCTCCAGTTCACTCGGATTCTGGAGACGTCGAACATCAACTTCAGAAAGACGTCGAAAAAGAAGAAGAAGAAGAAGAAGAAGAAGAAGAAGAGGATGAAGCCGACGCTCCGTACATTATTGATTCGGAAGAGTATGAATTTGTGGGAGGACAGGAGGAAAGAATCTCGTCGCCAGCTCATGAAGATGAGGAAGACGAAGATGTCATCGAATCAGAAGTCTACCAGAGACATCACGAAGAACACGATCCGAGCATTATTGAGTCTGAGGAGTATGAGAATGGATCTGGATCCGGATCCGGATCCGGATCTCCAAGACCGTTCGAAGAGTCCACCACGACGACTGTCATCAGCGTTCATCACGAGCCGCCAGCCATCCCGGAGCCTGAAGTTGATGAGGAGGAGTTTGAAGAAGACCGATCAATAATTGAGTCTCAGGAGTATTCTTCTGGATCCCCGCTGCCACCAACCACCGTCACCAGTGTGGAGCATGTGGAGCCCGAGAAGCGGGAGGAGTACACTCCGGAATACCCGACGACTGTTGCGGCGGTGAGCAGTGAGCACCTGGATGGTGGTCACATAATCGAGTCCCAGGAGTATACTGGATCTCCAGTTCCATCCGAGGAGAGTGCCCATGGATTCATTAAGACCACCACGACCACCACTACTGTTACTCGTGAGCACTTTGAGCCGGAGGATGAGCTTGAGCCATCAGCATCACCAGCTCCATCGGAAGAAGCGGTATCTCGAGTCGTTGAAACCACCACCACGACTACAGTAACCCGCGAGCACTTTGAGCCGGAAGAGAATGTCGTCGTGTCTCCAGTACCATCTGAAGAAGGATCGCCGAAAGTTATCGAGACCACTACCACCACCACGGTCACCCGCGAACATTATGAGCCCGAAGACGAGGAAGAGCACATCGTCGAATCTCAGGAGTACCTCGGATCTCCAGTCCGATCTGAAAAGTCCCTGGAGTCGGAGCAATCTGTGACCAAAGTTGTGGAGACCACTACTACGACTACGGTGACGCGTGAATATGTGGATGCGGAGGATGCTCCAGCTCCTCCGGCTCTTCTCGAAGAGCCCGTCGACCGAGTCCAGGAGACTACGACGACTACAGTCACTCGTGAGAACTATGAGCCGGAGTTGGAAGAAAACAAGTCGCCAGTTCCGTCAGAAGAAGAAGAAGTTCATGGATTCATCAAGACCACAACCACTACCACTACTGTCACCAGTGAGCACTTTGAGCCGGAAGAGGAGGAGCCACATCACGATGCTCCTCACTTCCATGAGCAATCCGAATCTCCAGTACCAGCGGAACGGACTCCATTGTTGGAGGAACCGCAACACGATGCTCCAGCTGATTCAGGCTACTTCCATGAGCAAGCAGAGCATGAAATTCCAACTGAACATGCACCATTGCTCACCGAGGAGCAAACGGAATCCGGAGAGGAAAGCGATGGAGAAGGATTCGGAAGCAAGGTGCTCGGATTTGCGAAGAAGGCGGGAATGGTCGCCGGAGCTGTGGTTGCTGCTCCAGTTGCTCTCGCTGCTGTCGGAGCCAAGACTGCCTACGATGCTCTCAAGAAGGATAGTGATGAGGAGCCAGAGGAGCCTGAACGACGAGCTCTGGAATCTCCAATTTCATCGGAACAGTACCAGGAGCCAATCCACGAGTCCTCGGAACCAGAGAAGCATCATATCACAGAGACAACGACAACTACCACGGTGACCCGTGAGTTCTACGATGAGCCGGTGTCTCCAGTGCCATCGGATACTGCTGGATCGCTTGTGGAAAGCGAGAAGTCGATCCCTCATGTCGTCGAGACCACCACAACCACCACTGTCACCCGGGACTTTGACCAGGACGCTTCTGGACGAGGATCACCGGTGCCTTCGGAGCCCGAGACCACCACTGTCACTCGTGAGGTCTACCAGGCTCCACGTGGAGACGAGTATGAGCTCTCAAGAAAAGATAGTGATGAGGAAGCAGAAGAGCCTGAACGACGAGCTCTGGAATCTCCAGTTTCATCGGAGAAGCATGAGGAACCGGAAGAACGCAAGGTTCTGCTTGACGAACCTCTTCATTACCAGTCCTCTGAACTTCAACGCCCCGCCCCAACCATCGAGAGCCAACCGGACGATTCTTCCGAGTCCGAAGGTTCATTTGTCGATCACGGAGAGCCGGAAGGACTTCCCGCTCACTCCACCGAAGCCGCCTTCAAACTCTCAACCGAAGACGTCGCCGAGCAAACCGCTCAGAAGCTCGTCTCCGAGGTTTTCACTCCATTAAACCGAACTCTCATTGAATCGGAGCAGTATCGCGCTTCCATCGAGTCGCTGAACCGTGAGCCGGAGCACAAGAAGAGTGTGGAGGACGATCTGGCATCGGAGGCTCTTCAGAACGTCACCAAGATCAGTTATGGAGACGCGGAGGCTGTCGGAGATAAGGCAGACGATGAAGATGAGGAGTGGAAGGTGTACGATCGTCACGGAGAAGTGCTGGAAGAGTTCTCGACCCAACTCACTGACAATGTGATTCAAGAAGCTGAAGGCGATGCGACGAGCCAGATCATGATGAGTCAGGCCGAGTACTCGCCGAGTCGTTCCAAGTTTTTGAAGCAGGAGAGCTGCCAGGAGATTTCCAACGAGCCGGAGGTCGACTATTATTCGGATCTTCAGGAGAAGCTCATGATTTTGGCCGGTGAGAAGGATCGTCTAGGAGCGCTTCCAGAGGAAGAGCCGTCGAGTGGTGGAGCGTCGGATCAGTTGGATGTGATTCATGAGTCAGATCAGGAGCATCAGGAATCCGAGGAGCTCGAAGAAGCAGCCGAGCACACGGCAATCCAGCTCGTCGACCAGGTTCTCGAGCAGATTAGCCACGAGCTCGGCGAGCAAGAGGAAGATCAGAAGACGATGACGTCGGACGCCTACCTGACGGCCACCGAATCGAAAGACGATCAGTACGACACTTGTGTCACCTCTCAGGACGACACGTACGAGTCCGCGCAAGGCTGGACGTCCCAGGATTCAGAGTACACGTCGGCGACGTCGCAGGCGCCGAGCCGGCTCAGCGACGAGGAGAGCGGCGAGCAGACTGCGCGCGAGACGTCTACTCCGCAGGCGGCTCTGTCGCCCGTCGACTCTGACCGTCATTTTACAGTTCAGGCGGACTTTGAGATGCCCGTCATTAAAGCGTTCGGCCCCGACGATTACCTTCAGTCCACCGCTAGATCCACCCCAGACGTTGCACTTCAGGTCACGATCGAGGAGGAGGACGAGAGCGACGACAAGTTGCCGATCAGCCCGAGCGGAGTGCTTTTGCCGCCCGCCACCGATCCGGGACGGCCAGTTTCACCGGTACCACCGCGCAGAGAGCCCGATGGAGGCGTTTTTGTGTTCGGACATGAGGAGGATGTGATCGCCGAGCCGACACCGCCGCCACAGCCTTTTGAAGAAGAGGTTGCACGACGACAGGAGACCGAACGCATCCATGGTTTAGCCATGGAGGCGTCGTCCGATCCAGCAAACAGCGAGTCTTCACGTTACTCGCGACAACTGTCGGACCTGTCGTCGTCGGCGGAGAGCCACGCGGACACTGTGATCCGTGTCGATCCGGAGACGGAGCGTAGTGGATCTACGGACTCGTTAGAGGTCGTCAGTGTTATTGATGTTCCCGAGAAGCCCGAAGACGAGCCGTCTGCCGAACAACTTGGATTTGAGGTCTATGAGGGTGAGGTCGAACAGCAACAACAACAACAACAACCCGAAGAGCTAGAAACGGTTGAGGAAGAGCCGGAAGACTCGGATTCCCTTAACGAAAGCGGCAACCATTCGAGCGGCCACTCGTCTGTCGGAGTGCCAGCCGATACGCTCGCCATGATTGGAAAGTACCGCCATCAATCGAGCGACAATCTCTCGCTCACATCCCTTCAAGAGTTTGAGCGTCTGGAGAAGGAGGTCGGCGCACGAGGAGACGGATCTTTGACGCGATCGGAGATCGAATTGCTGATGGCCGGCCGACTGAATAAGAGCGGAGAGGGATCGGCGAGCTCGTTGGCCGAGTTTGAAAGGCTTGAGAAAGAGATGACGGAGAATCAGTCGCCGCCGGAAGACGTCATGATGCTGTCGGACATTCGAGAAGAGTCCGAGGCCGAGGACATGAGCATTTGCAATGATGACGATGAGGAGCAAGCCGGATCGGGTTCCGATACGGAGTTGAAGAGCCGTCCGGTCCAGGAGGAAGATCTTCGTGTCATCACTCCGATCGCTCCTTCTCCGACCGACTCGCTCGAGCACTCGATCGACCCCATTCAGCTACAGTACCTGGAGACCAGCACCGACTCCCTAGAGCCGACTTTCCAAGAGATTGAGGTCGAGCAGAGACCCGATAGTGTGGAGGATACCTCGCTGACCGAGTATGAAGTGGTCCCCAAGATCATGGAAGCCAGCACCACTGACTCTTTGGACGGAGCTGCCACAATCGAAAGGGTAAGGATGAGTAGCAGCGAATCGTTTAGTTTATATACTTGTTTCAGGACTCTCTGCTGGAAGGTGCCAGTCAAGGCATCGAATCGACACAATCCACACATGGTCTCTTGTCGGGCGACACGATGAGAACCCTCGTCACCGACGACGACGACGACGACAAGGACTCGTTGGACGGCGAGGTTTCGAGCATGCTTCAGTCCTATCCGACCACTCTGACCACATTCCAAACCACCGCGATCGGAACCGACGGCACCGTTCAGACCATCTCGAGACGTGTTGAGACTAAGGCGAGTTTTTGAGTGTGTTCATGATGAAATTTTTGAGTTCAGGTAACCGATCCGCTCGTCTCGCACGTCACATTCACCGGAACCGAAAGTCAGGAGCGTCTCGATCAATTGCCCGACGATCAGCAATTCGAAACTGTGGATACGGAGGGAAATGTGACGAGGACCACCTATCGGCGGGACCACGATCAACATTCGCACTATTAGAGGAGGTGAGGCGATCCGTGAGGGACCAAAAGTGTCTGAAAAATTCGACTAGTTTGTGCAATGCTTCCTAGAACATTGTTGTCCACGAGGAGTCCAAAACTTCGTGGCCTAGGAATTCCTCTTCAAAACTTTTCTTGAGAAAGTTTGAGAATTGCTTAGAAAAGTTTGAGAATTTATTGAAAAAATTTAAGAAAAGCTTAGGAAAGTTTTTAGTGCTTCAGAAAATTTGAAAAAAAAAACAAAAAAAATTTTTTACCTGAGCTCCAAATATTATCGAAATCTTGAAACAGTACAATTTTTTTTTGCAGATCCTCGTCGCTTCCAATACTACAATATTTATATGCCATTCATTTTCCACGCCCCCCACAAAAAAAAACATTCCATTACCCCCCTTCCAATCCAGTTTTAATGCGAAACATTCAATTTTTTTTGCGTCCAGTGAGAGCTTATTTATTCATTATTTTCGTACGTTTACAATAGCTTTTCTTGCTTTTTCCCCCCCTTCCCCAAAAAAAAAACTCAAAAATGCTCCGCCCCAGAGCATTTTTTCGCAGAATCTCAAAAAGTCGCCCCAACTTTTGTCGATTCTCATCCCCCCCAAAAACTGTCCAATTCTGCGTAGGCGTCGGCCCCGAACCCTACAATATAACTTTTCATGTTTTAAGCTTTCCCGCCCCGCCGCCCCCCAGCAAACGCCGAAAATTGTTCGCCCCAAACGATTTTCGGCCAGCTGTTTGGAGATGCATAGTTTTTCGTAAATGTTCCCCAATCATTTTGTTGTATTTCATTCGTTTTTTTTGTAGTTTACGCGGTCCCCCAGCAGCTTATTTTCAGACTGAACTCGAACTAGTCACCCGTCTCCACGCGCCTCCCATTTCATGTTTTTCGTGCTAATAAAGCTTTGCTTGAAGAAACCGTAGTGTCTCGACTTTGAAGAGCTATACAGTACCCCCTGGGATGGAAAAAGTGTCTGTCTACGAAGATCCTAGATCACACAAAAACCCACGCCGTTCTCAGAGCTACAGTAGTCTTTTGAGCATCATTGAATGGGGACCAGATGGGAAATGAATGTGAAAAAAGCAAAGGCAGACGATTTTCAGGTCTAGACAGGTTAAGGACACATTAAACGATTACCGTAAGTGATTAACCTGAAATGAACAGGTTGAAACCGTAAAAATCGTTTCCACAAGTTCCAACCTCTGCTTCCAACCCATTCCGTCGCCGATTTCCTCTCAAAATCCCCCCTTTCCTCTTCCACCCACGTCTTTCGTTCTCTGAAAGTGTAATATCTCTCCTCTCTCGCGTTTCCCCGCCCCATCACAACAGTGCGAGAGGTCGGCGGGATCAGTAGAGACGCGGAGCGGTAGAGACACGGACCCTCACAGATCTTTCTCGTTTTCCCTCTTCTTCTTTTCTTTTTTTTTTTTTTTTGGTCGAGAGACAGCCTGCTTCGACCGATTGTTTCACAATACTGCTACGCACTTACTTGCCAATGTTTTATGCCGCGCGTCCAAAGTCTCGGAAAACTCGCAAATCTCGTGGATTTTGCACTCCAAAGTCGGCAGAAATTTGCGGGAAATCCGGGGTGCGCACAGCTGAACGAGTGTTACCGTACACCATAAAAACTACGGTATTTTTTTGAAAAATTTACCCAAGAAATTTGAAAAAAATTTTCCAAATATTCTTGAGAAATTTAAAAATTTTTTTCAAAAAAATACCGTTGAAAAATTTAGCCAAGAAATTAGAAACATTTCAAATATTCTCGATAAAATTTAAAATTTTTTTCAAAAAAAATTCCGTTGAAAAATTTACCCAAGAAATTTCAAATATTTCAAATATTCTCGAAAAAAATTTATTTTTGTTCAAAAAAATACCGTTGAAAAATTTAGCCAAGAAATTTGAAAAATTTTCAAACATTTTTCGATAAATTTAAAATTTTTTTCTAAAAAAATACTGTTGAAAACTTACCCAAGAAATTTGAAAAAAAATTTCAAATATTCTCGAGAAATTTAATCATTTTTTTCAAAAAAATACCGTTGAAAAATTTACTCAAGAAATTTGAAAAAAATTTAAATTTTTTGCAAAAAAATTACCGTTGAAAAACTTTTTACCCTAAGAAATTTGAAAAAAATTTCCAATATTCTCGAGAAATTTAAAATTTTTCAAAAAATACCGTTGAAAATTTAGCCAAGAAATTTGAAAAATTTCCAATACTCTGGGGAAATTTAAATTTTTTCAAAAAATACCGTAGTTTTATGGTGTACGGTAACACTCGTTCAGCTGTGCGCACCCCGGATTTCCCGCAAATTTCTGCCGACTTTGGACTGCAAAATTCGCGAGATTTGCGCGTTTTCCGAGACCTACCGTACTGCGCTAGTTTGCTCGTTTTTCAATGCGTCCGAATGCCGTTAACTTTTACCTTTTGTACTCTACTCTAATTTCAACATTTACAATATCAGGTAATGTCGACCATCGCGGCAGGTCGTTTCGCGAAAGACGACGTCGATCACGAGACGAAATGGTGGAAGGAGTACCCGTCCAAGTGAGTTGAATATGTACAGTAATTGGTCGCTAAGGTGTTCAAGTGTACATAAAGGAAGAAATGGTCTCGCCAGGATTAGGAGAGAGCTTGTTCAATGTCACGTCCGTTTTGAGGTACTACGTGGAGCGTGCCCGTCCACAAAACTTCTACGACGAGTACATCCAGAACACGTGGAGCAAGCCGAAGCGTCTCGCGCGCTCCGCCTCCTTCACCAACCTGACCTACATCCGCGACAAGGACATGGACTATCCGATTCCGAAATCCGACTCGGTCTCCACACTTTCTCCGTCGCACGCTTTGCCGCAGTATTGTAGGTTTGTTGTGTCTGTGAAGATGTGTAAAATGTACACAATTTGATATGAACCGTCCAGTTTGCAGAGAAGCGCAACGCATCGTGCACACGGTGCCGGTGTACAAGCCGCACGTGCACGACTGGTACAACAATAGCTACAGTGCGGCGCGTTGGAGGGACACGCATCGGGAGGTGAACAAGCCGTACAAGCCGTTGGACACCTACATCTCGCCCGCCTCTTCTCACGTGCCCTACTACACGTTCCAGACGAAACGCATCTTTTTCGATGAGGTAAAATTGTTGTTTGGCTACTGTTTAGAAACTAGCGCACAACTCAAAAATGATGACATTTGGAGCAAAATGATCAACTGCAAAGTTGTTGAGCGTAAAATTTGCTACAACTTTTCAGTTGAACACTTTTTCAAATAATCATCGGTTCTTGAGATATAGGCGGTTTTCGAGTAGAGCGAAAGATGTGAATTCCAATTTTTCCAGAAAGCCCGTCAACTGGCTCCGTACCTGAAAGAATCGCAACGCTACATGGACAGATACGTGTCTTCTCGTCTCAAGGTACCGAATTTCGTTGAGATCTCTACAATATTTTTGTTCAGGCCGACGACTACGCGAATCGTTTTGCGTACACCGCCTACGAGTGGAGAAAGCCGCAGGATCACGCGTTCAACCGCCAATTCATGACCACCCAGAGAGTTTGTTCAATTTATAGAAGAAATGATGTGTCGATAAAACGGTTTAAAGGTGTTCGTCTCCACTCCGACCGGTCTCCCACACGAACACTACGATAAACTGGCGCTTCGTCGCCTCTACAAGCGTACCGGACGTTTCTTCTTCTGAATTCAAGCTCGCCTCGTTTTTATTTCATCTTGGATAAATCTTTCTTTCGTTTATTTTTTTTTTGTCTTAGTTTCACATTGCAAAAGAGCTGATAAGGACACAGAGAGAGAGAGGAAAAAGAAGAAAAGGAATTCGCGGCGAGACCCATTTCTTATCAGCAACCAGTAACCGAAGACTGCTCTGCCGAGTCCGAAGACTACTCGCCGAGCATCGATTTTTCCGCTACTATTGTCCATTTTCCGCCCTTTCCGAATGTTTGGACCATTCTGCACCGGAATCTTCTTGTTCTTGGCCCTTTGGGGTACTGTTTTCATGGTATGTGCGCGTTTTTAACCGAAAAAAAAGAAATGCACGATTTGAGGCGGTGCTCGGCGGCCTTTTCTACAACCAATCGGTCGGACTGTTCGAAGACCTTCCCTCCGAGTCGAAAGAGCATGGAGGGCAAGGATTGGAAGACGCGAGTCAACAACTTCAATAGGTTAGTTTTTGATTGTTTGCGACGAAACATTTGAAATATCATCGAAAAAGCGCACCGTTTATTCAAAGTGATGTATCTCAGCAGTGTGTAGAGATATGAAAAACTTGTCAACTGAAAAAATGTGCAAAACGTCTTAATAAACAATATATTAGTTGACAACTTTTTGATATCTCTACTAGCAGCCGAGATATGCATTTTCACAAATCACCACTGTTCGCAACCAACAAAACTCTTGATGCTGTTTGCAGTCTGTACCAACAAAACGCCTACAACTGCTGGGTCGCCTGCGGAGTGTACATCGGAATCGCCGTGCTTCTGTCCGTCCGTGCGTGCTGCCTCGCCAAGCGGGCATAACTTTTTTGTCGAACACTTTTCGTGTACATTCTTTAGAACATTCATACATAAATTCAATGACGTCTTTTTTATATTCTGCGCTCATTATTTGAGCTAAAAACAACACATTAGAAGAATTTAACATCAGAATCTATCGAAGTTCGCTCTAGACGCCAACGCAGCAACGATTTGATGGGGAAGTTGTGAGAACTTGTAGTGGTCCTTCAACTGCTTCAACTTCTCTCTGTTTTCTAGTTGATTGAGACACGACTC